GCTGAGAAGGTGATGCATAGCTTGAGTTAACGTTTATTGCCTTTTCCTGCTCCCTAGGTATTACAGAGGAACACATGGGGTCATTGTTGTCTACGACGTAACCAGTGCAGAATCTTTTGTGAATGTAAAGCGGTGGTTGCATGAAATTAATCAAAATTGTGATGATGTCTGCCGGATACTAGGTAAGTTTCTGATCAGAGAGTGAAGAGAATCTTACTTAGCGGGCTGACCTGCTGCAGTACAAAACTGACTTTTTTTTTTTTTTTCCTTTCCTTTTTTAGTGGGAAATAAGAATGATGACCCAGAGCGAAAAGTGGTAGAAACGGAAGATGCCTATAAATTTGCTGGGCAGATGGAGATCCAATTGTTTGAGACCAGCGCCAAAGAAAATATTAATGTGGAAGAGGTAATATAATATGCAGAAGAGTATAGATAAAATGACGTGGGGATAATGGCTTGGGAAAAAATAAGAATTACATTCTTCCCACTGAGGAAGAAAGATAAAATGCTTTATACCAGTTGCAAGTGAGTAGGTAAAATGTCAAGAAGAGACGTCCAACTGCATTTGGAAGAGTTGGGAAGCGAAATGAAGGAGCCCACGTTGCCTTTTCCCTAGCTTTGCAGCGCTAACGTACTAGGCCTGGTCTCCGGAAAGACTTCTCACTAGGGAGGGTGCTGCTAGGAGGGAGGGCTGCCCGATCTTCACTCCTGGCCTCGGTTGCCAACCTGACCTGGTTTTATTTACTGGTTTGGGAAGGGGGACAGAGGTGTTACTGATTTAGCTTGGGAGTGGGTCGGGAAGGTACTGGATTTCCGCTTGGCCCGTAGTGGGTTGGGGAAGATCTCTGAGCCATTATTGAACTGCCTGGAGAAGTGGAGTTGCTTCAGGAGAAGAGCATCCCACAAAAGCTAGCCTGGGTTCCTGGGTGGTCTGAACTGGCTTGTTTCTCTTGCAGATGTTTAATTGCATTACAGAGCTAGTCCTGCGAGCAAAGAAAGAAAACCTAGCAAAGCAGCAACAGCAGCAACAGAATGATGTGGTGAAGCTAACGAAGAACAGTAAAAGGAAGAAGCGGTGCTGCTAATGCCCTTTCCCTGCTGCAGAGACTCTGCTCTCAGACAGATCAGCCCCTCCAGCTAGACTCGGGCAATTCCACTGGGGCAGGCTTCGGGAGGACTTTCTCAGTTTTGTGCCGTTATTTAAAGATGATTTTTTCTCCATGTTTTCTATCAAGAGGCGCTGGCACCTTACCACTTCAGTGCCAAGAAGGTATCGGATGGAATCTTGCCCCCCTCTCCTCCCCTGCTCATTCCAGTGCGCCTTGTAGACAAGAAAGGACGTTGCCTACCAAGTGGACTAATTAACCCAAGAGTTTGTATATAATGTATATTGCTTTAACCAGCCTCGCCTCCCTGTTGTCGCTTTGGCTTATGCCTTCTTAATGTCAACCAATCATGGACTGCAGAGTTCATCTTTTTAAAGAAACAGTGCAAAGTTCTTAATGCGAGTTGGCCCCAGGCTGGCAGCAGCGGCTTCCTGGGGCCTCCGGCTTCATTTCTGTTGGGCTCCAGGCTGGCGACTGGTGCCCCTGGGGCCTATGGCTTCACCTGGAGTTCCAGGCTTTTACTGGGGCTCAGGCTTTGTTTTTCTAGGTACCAGGATTGCAGGTGTTGCTGCTGGAGCCTGGGGTTTCACTTCACCAGCCCCTGGGCTGGCAGCTGGTGCTGCTGCTGGGGCCTCCAATTTCAGTTTGCCATGGTCCAGATTTGCAGCTGGGTCCTTGGGTTTCACCTTCTTGTGCTGCAGCCCAGCTGTACCTGTGCTCTCCTTTAGTTTGTATCATGATACTGAAAAACAAACTGACCTGCAGAAGTGGGATTTATTTGGGTAAAACTTTTTTTTTTTTTTTTGAAAAAAAAAAAAAAAAACAAAGTTTAACTCCTTTGACGTCTGCTTCTGGTTCAGCCAGGGTCCTAAGTCAGGGTCCATTTCTTTTGAGAACAACAAAACCCATGTGAGTCTGCCAAAAACCCCCAAACTTCTCCTTGTTGCCCTGTCCACAAGTAGGCGATCTGAACTTGAATGTGAACTTTGGTGGCGAAGCTTTTGTTTTTGAGAGATGAAAAAAAAAAAAAAAAACAAAGTTTAACTCCTTTGACGTCTGCTTCTGGTTCAGCCAGGGTCCTAAGTCAGGGTCCATTTCTTTTGAGAACAACAAAACCCATGTGAGTCTGCCAAAAACCCCCAAACTTCTCCTTGTTGCCCTGTCCACAAGTAGGCGATCTGAACTTGAATGTGAACTTTGGTGGCGAAGCTTTTGTTTTTGAGAGAGAAAAGGCATGCAAATAAATCCAGCTGTTCTGGATTGATGTCTGAATATGAAAGCTGCTGCAGGATCATTCCCAGGATTCTTCTGTTAGAAGGGAGGACTGCTGTTTAATGTCGAGAAATGGAAAGCTTGCTCGCTTGGGTTATGTGGTGGTGGGGGATCACCCTTGGAAACAAACTGGTCTCGCTATGCTCAGCAACGTTTTCCTGGCCCTTGTTGGCCTTTCTGGGAAAACAAGGGCTCAGTTCATCAGCCTGAATAGGTGTAGTTAAAGGTGGAGAGTGTACGTGCGTGTAACTAAACGATCAAGTGTCTGGGCTGAAAGTACGTGCTCAGCACCTGAATAATTGCCGAAGTAATAATAAAAAAAGAATTTTTCCTTAAAATGACTAAAAGGCACGGAGGGTATGACTTCCTTTGAGACCTTGAAGGTGGACGTACTCGGTTTGTCAGTAAGTGGCCCTCTGGAATTGCTGGCCATGGTTCGGTAGGATGTGATTCACCCGCCTCCGTGAGCGTTGGATCAGCCCACTGCTCTCCCTCCCTCCCCCTCCCCCAGGAGAGGCTAAATTTTAGTCACTTATTTTGCCTGCATTTTTTTAGATTTCATGGGTTGTGGTAAGAGCCCTAATCATACAATCACGTCACAATCAATCACTTTAAAGACTTTTTAAAAAATGCAAACGATGAATGTGTAACACACCTGTTTTTTTAATCAGTTCAGGTGCTGGGAGTACGTACCCAGCTGCCTTCACCCCTCTCTTTTCTTCACATATCTTTCGTTAGTAGCCCAAGACTAAGAATGAGCTGGCATGATATTGCTAGTGTGAGCTCTGATCGTTGTAAGACTTGAGCGGCTGTGGAAAGCGGCGGCTTAGGTGGCCCCGGTCCATCCCGCCTGCTTTCCGACGTCGAAGGTGGTGCGCGCCCAGGGCAGGAGCCTCGAAGCCCTCCTGTTGAAGTGAAGCTGTCCTGTGGCGGTGGCCGCTCCAGATTAAAGGGCCCAGGTGCGTTACTGTGGGACTCCTGTGGTAGCGTGCGTGCGGATCTAGGAGGGAGTAACTTCATAGAGGCAGAAGTAAAGAAAATGTGTGACTTTACTGGAATTGATGCAATAAAATGCGGAAATGGTGCACCCGAGCCTGGAGTGTTCTCTTATATGGGAAGATTGGTCCTCTTTGAGTCCAGGGCTTTGTGGCCACGGCTTGAACTCTGCCAGTCCAGGTGCCCAACCTCCTGGCTTCACGTGGGATTTCTTTTTTTTGTTTGTTTTTTTCCTAGAGCTGGCTGTAGAGGAGCAGTTCTCTCTCTGCTCTTGCCACTGACTTCAATTGGAAGGGGTGGGGACTGTGTCTCTAGTGGTGCTGATGTGAAGTTTCCTAAATGTTGAGCAATGGAATGTCTAACTGGTTTGCTAGGATTATTTCTGTAATGAAAGTTTCTAATTATGCTTTTTAAATAATTTTAAAAAAACTAAAAATAAAGGTTACAAGCTGCCAAATCTTTTTCGAGGCTCTGTTTCCTCTGCTGTCCAGCATCTGGAGGTGGAAGGCGGCAAGCCAGGGGTGAGCTCTCCTGCTCTACGTAGAGGGGCTTTTTCCTGGGAAGGGGGGATTGGCAAAACCACAATTAATGCTTTCAAATGGTTGGTCGCTATTCTAGTTTTAAATGTGAATGAAAGAGTAAGCTGGAACTGGAAACCTTATTTCTGCAGGGAGGCGAGATGCTCATGATTTTACAGTAATCCCTCGTCTTTCTGTTCAACCAAAAGCGTTGGGCGAGCTTTGAAGGCTTCTCCTCAGAGGCAGCAGGGGTCAGACCCGGAGCTGATTACAAAGCATCTGGAGCCTCTCCTTGCTTTCCCAGGAACCGAACGTTTGCTTTCCCGCGTAGGAACGCGCAGCCGTCGCTGTGCTTGCTGCCCTTAGCATTCGCCTACCCCTGCCCGCCCTCGGCGCGCGAGCGGGCTGTGGAAGGCGAGGCCCCGCTTCTGGAGGAGCCTGCCGACAGCTTGCTGTGGGGAGGCGCCGTCCCTGCCCGCGCTCCTCTGGTCTGAGGACGTAGAGGGGAATCCTGAGGACGCGTAGGTGGTCTCAGCTGCAGCTGGCCAAGCCGGAGGTGTTTCATTGTCCGTCTGTTTTGTGTCTAAACTCATCAATGTCTGAATATCCCTCCATCGAAAGGCCAGGAAATGATAGAAATGGCTGGAAGGTAGAGAAGGTTTCCGAGCTAGCCCCTCTCTTTTCCTCTGTGGCAGGAGGGGTAAATGCTTCAAATGTTCTTTCTCTGGGACCCTTCTGAGCATGTGCAAGTGCTTTACGTGGCTGAAGTTGTTGGGATGATGCAGTGCTAAAGATGCTGTTGGGTGGTAAGGTTCAAAAAGTGAGCTTGTTCTGCAGCTAGGCAAGATGAGCAGTGACTCGAGAGCTGAGACGGTATCATAGAAATGATCAGTTTTATTCTGAAGAGAACTATTTACAAAAGAAGTAGAGCATTGTTTTTACTAAAAATATGCCTTTATAGATTTTTATAATATGTATCTTATAAAAACCATACATTTATTTACATTACTGCTACATACAAAAATTACAGCACTGTGGTATATGTACATATCTATAGGTACATTCTTTCTGCTTGTCCCTGCTGTGTGCTTTTCCCCTCTCGATCCAAGGGAATCGTTGCTGCAGCACCCAGACACTTCCTTTCTTGGCTTTTTGGTTAAAACAATCTTGCTTTTTATAGCCGAGCGGGGAGTAGCGAGTTTGCCTGATGCAGAGGCCGATCTGGAACTCACCGTTGTAAGTAGGACAAGTGCATGCAGCTATCGCGTCCTCGGGCGTGCCGCACTGCCTGTCGCCTCGCCTCTTGCTTCTCTGTGCAAAACGATTCTGTTGTCGTTAATTGATCTATGGTTCATCTCGACGGCAAGTTGCTGATCTAAGTTTGGATAAAGTGCTAGTGACTTGCCTTGCGTTTACACTGACGTGTTTCTTGTTTACAGTTGCTTCCCTTGCCGAGTTTACCAAAGGGAGATTGATCCCTTTTCCCGCCGGCTGGCATAATAAACGCTTGCCCGACCAGTCACCTGGTACCCAACTGTGGGAAAGTTCTTTGTAACCTTAATCTCAGCAGGCATCTCTTCTCTGTGCAATATTTGACGAGTGACTGTGCGGCACTACTGTTGTATTTACCATTATCTCAAAAGCAAGGCCGAGTGTTGTATTTAGAGCTGCTGATCCCGCTCCTTAAATCTGCTGTGGGATCCTGAGTACCTGCTGGATTCCTGTGCTCCCTCCATCTCATTCTCTGGAGCCGACGTCTCCTTTACGCTACACGTGCCCTAGAAGTATCCGGTATCGCAAGTGGAGTGTCTTCTCACCCGGCACTGCGAGGACGATTGCGGCTCCTGGCTGTGACAGGATGGAGATGGGCGTTTTAATGACGGCTCAAGGTGAGATAGTCAGGACCTTGTTAAAACACAACGTGACAAATGAGGATGGGAAGGACTGCATTGATGAGGTTTTTGAAAACAAAACAACAAAACCTAGCTGCTATGTTAAGGCAGTTTCTGTTCCTGTTGAGTAGCAGCTCAGCACAAGGAGGTCTCCTTTGGTGTGTTCTCCAGTTCGTTAAACCCAATTCTCTTGTATTTCTGGGTTTAGTAGTGCAACTAAGTCTTTAGGGTTAAGGGGCTAGCTTTAAGAAACCATACCCAACTGGCACCTTACAACATGCTGACTTTCCTCTTGCAATCTCTTCCATCATTGTTATTAAATAAATAAAATTGCAGTGGGATTCAGGTAGGTTCCTCCTTAAATGAAGAGATGCGCCGTGCATTTCAATGGCCTGCCCCTGCAACTGAATGAGTCACTTTCCTCTCGGCAACCGTGGAGCAGAAGGCACCTTTCTTCATCTCCTTACTGCGTCTTCCTTGGATAACTGAAGGCCCTTGCCTTAGGATTGCATCCGTCCGTCCGTCTGTCCTCACGGCGGGAGAGGCCCCCACAGCTGCTGGGCGTGTGGCTTGAAGGGAGCTGTTGGGGCCTGGGAAGTAACAACTGACGGCAGAAAA